ACATCACATTGGAAATTGGATCTTAGATTATTGCGATATGCAGAAGCACATGTCTACAGCTCATTGGTTGTTGTTCTAACTTATTTTAGTTAATTATCTTTTATTAAATAAATATTATTGTTTAGACACTCATTTTTGCAATTAGTCACAAATAAATTATTAAAAAGGTAATAGCACATAATGTCCCTACTTTTCACTATTATTACAAAAAAATCTCTACCTTTTAATTTTTTTTCCTGCATTCTCACCCTTAATAACACATTTAATTATGCAAGCCATCATTTTTATCTATTTCTCATCCAATTTCTCAATAAAAAGCTTTGCAATGACGAATATAATATTCTATTTAAATAAAAAGTTAAAGAATTAATTACAACCATAGTCTCAATTTTTTTAAAAAAGTGCAAACAAGTCCCCAATAAATTATTTTAAAAATTAATTTTTTTTAAAAAGTGCAAACGAGTTCCAAATAAATTATGAAAGAATTAGAAATTAAAAATATTTTTTTATTTAAATATGAGGGTATATTCTTACAATTCTTTATTGAAAAATTGAATGAAAATGATGATTTGCATAATTAAATGTGTAATTAAGGGTAAAAATGTCAAAAAAAAAATTAAAGGTAGGGCGTTTTTTGCAATAACAGTAAAAGATATAGACATTATGTGCTAATTACCCTTTTAATAACTTATTTGTGATATTTGCACTTTAAAAAAAAAAATGAGACTGTGATTGCAATATTATTTTATTTTTCCTTTTGTTTTATTTAAAAAGAAGTGTATATTCGTCATTTCATAATTTTTAATTGAGAAAATATGTGAAAATGACATTTTGTGCAATGAAATGTGAAAATAGTGAAAATGTCAAAAAAATTAAAGGTTGTGACGTTTTCCAGAATAATAATGAAAGATGGGGACGTTATGTGCTCATTACCTTTAGAATTTCATATTAATTATATTTTTTGTAATTTGAAATTCATTTTTTGTGATAGACACTGTTTAATAAGTTCTTGTGAATGTGAAGAAAATATGCATGTGCACAATTTTAAGTGACATGATGTTTAAATAATCTTTAAAAACAAAATCAAGAACTAGAATTCAAACTAAAATAGCACTCAAAAGATTATGGATTTGTCTTTGTTGCGAAGTCATATTGGATCGTTGTTGCCTTACCGACTTATTTTTAAATTGAAGTGTTGTTCCTTTCTCAGTTTGTTATTAAATAACATGCTTACCGGCTTAATGTTAAATAACATGATTGAAATAATCACAAAATTTACCTCCAGGACAGTGATGACGTGTGGGGTGTTCCGACTGCTCCGATCAACGAATGTTACCTACAAAATGATGTTGGGGCTTTCCCAATGAAATAATCACAAAATTTACCTCCATGGCAATGATGACGTGTGGGGTGTTCCGGCTGCTCCAATCAACGAATGTTACCTACAAAAATGAGGTTGGGGCTTTCTCACACGTTGTACCTCTGGTGTGAGAATCAGTCGTTACTTAAGGGAAATAGGAAGAATGTATATTGATAATTCAAACAGTTCGGATTTCAAGATGCAATACATTTTCTCACATTGTGGTATTTATAGGCACCTGATGGCACGCCCCCTGTTCCACGATTAACTGTGCCACGTGTCCCACGTATATCTTCCCACTCCCCCACGTTCTATAGCGTTGACACCCACACATATTGC